GGGGGCGGCCAGCTCTGTGTGCCCAAGGAAGGTTGAAAGATCCTGACCCACCAAGGGAGAAAGCTGCCTGAGGTCTCAGAAGTGGCAGAGCGGTCTGCAGGACAGCTCAAGAACGAAGATTTCTTCCTAGGGCTTCACATCAGGAATAGCACAGAGTAAACATTGCTGCCCAGCCCTCCCCTGGGACACACTGCTGGCCTCCCATTCAGAGGGCCAGCGGCAGCGGTCCGAAAGGTCTTGAGTGCCCCCGCTCAACCCGAGGGAAGAAATCTAGATTTTGCAGAAAGCATAATTAGGAAACGTGTTTTAACGGCACAGAGGAGTTTCTGCTTTGAAATGGGTTAGTCTGTGCGCTTGCCAGTGGCGTCCTCTGCAGATGCTCCTGTCACGTGGCCCTGTTGCCCGTGTCAATAAAGCAAGTCACACTTGTTCTCACTTTCGCGAGTGAACCTAGAGATGGTTAGCGTCCAGAATCGCCTCAGCCGCGAAATGGAGCTTCCCGTCCCCGCCTAAAACCCAAAGACAAGACCTCCGACGCCATCGTCGCCTGGGCGGGCAGACCTGGGGGTCTTAATTTCGCCGCAGCCTTGGCTAACGAGGTCGGGGGGGCGTGGGGCGAACCCCAGTGACCCTGGAACTCCCTCTCAGATGGAGCGACATGCGGACAGCAGGTGGGGTGAAGTACGGACACCCGGGTTTCCCAGGGAGGATGCGCCCGCCATCCAGAACGCGGCCTGTGGATGCCCGCACCTGCTGGCCCGCCCCGGCGGGGGCTCTGCGGTCTCCTAGCAACCCAGAGGCGGTCCGGGCGCCAGGAATCCTGGGGAGTATAGTCCAGGGCCCGGAGGCCGTGACCGAGGCGCCCTAGACTGCACTTCCCAGATCGCTTCGCGCGCTCCTCCCACAGCCTCGCGAGAACCCTGTGACGAAAGGCACCTGGCGAGAGCGGCCTCTCGCAGGCGCTGCTGGGAGTTGTAGTTTTGCGCTGGGAGTCGCGCGCCCTGGAACCCGGGCTGCGGCAGCGGAGAGACTACAAGTCCCAGGGAGTGCGGCGGGACCGCCTGGAGGGCGGGGGGTACGAAAGAGGAACGCGGAGGGAGCCGCGGTGAGTGAGGGGCGGGAGCGAGGAGGTTGGGCCGTTGGTCGGGCCATGGGCCCCGGGGGGCGCGGACGCTTGGGCTGACAGTCTCGGCCGCGGCGGCGGGGGCAGGGCGCGGAAGCTGGACAAAGGTCCGCGGGGTACCGGGGCGGCCGAACCTCCCCCGGTGTCATGAGCTAAGGGAGCCCCCGTAACTGGACCTAGGACGCCCCTCCTCGAGCCCCGAAGCCCTAGAAGGCCACGCGGTCCCCGGGCCTTCGGAGGGCGCCAGGCCGGACGGTGGGTGCCGACTCCCCCCTAGGGCGGCGCGCGGGGTGAGGTCGGGCCGCGCTGGACTGTCCGTGACCTGACGGGCTTTTTCCCTTGAGGTTTCCAGGTTTAGGTTAGTCGGTTTATCCCCACGTAACAGTCCAGGTTTAGTCTCAGTGTAAGTTTTCACCAAGGCGATTGTGTATTGTCGCCGTAACAATTTAGTAGAAGTTTTAGTTTGTGTGCTTGAGACCAGGTGGTTTGGATACGATTCTGACTGCATTTCAAAGAGTAGCATTTTGGCAAATGCAGCTTCTCCCACAAAAACAAGCAAACAAACAAAAACGTGACTGAATTTTTAACTGCCTCGTTCTGTCAAATTCGAAGGTGTCAAACTTTGCCCATGTTTTGTGTGGCGTTGTCCTTAGTCTTCCTACAGTATTGGGGGTCAGCAGACCTGGTCTTTGTCTTGCTCTTGGTTTTAACCGGCGGCCCGGGGAGAGGCCCGTGGGGCTGGTCCAGGAGCCCTGGGCTGGAGAAGTTAATAGCGCAGCTGGATTGTTCCGGTTCCCGCTCCCCGGCCAAGAGTCACCGCACAGCAGCCTGTGTTCTGCCAGGATCTTAATGGCCACACTGTCTTTAGAAGCCCGTAGAAGGAAATGAAATCTGGATTATCCAGAAAGCTGCTTTTCTGGCATGTGCACACCCCCTCCTCTGCCCCCACACATTCCTCGCTAAAGCAGAGCAAAAGGATGTCTTGATGGGTGATCACCAGGACCCCAAAGCCCCTCGGGCCAGTCCTTACATCACCCCAGTCCTCCAAGGTAAGCTGTAAGGACCTCTGGTCACCATAGCACTGAGAACTTCGCATCCCCAAGACAAAGGATGCCTTTGAGGGGTGTCCCAGCACGCAGAACCCAGCGGGAGGCTGCAGGGGTCCACAGCTGGTCCACACCCCTCAGGTGTGCTGAGACCACAGAGCATGGGCAGTGAGTGTCGTGGATGGCGACAGACTGGGACGTTTCCTTTACAGCCAGTCAGATTGTGTGTGGCATTTGTTTTCTCTCCGGCGTGACAGGATTTTCAGGTTGAGAAGCACGTGTTCGTCGGGCCTCAGGAGTTCGTTTCTCCCGAGCGCGTGTCCTCACTGGCCCCCTTCGCTGACTTAGAAAGCGGCCGGCCCTCCGGGCGGTGCTCAGCGGTGGGAGCGACAGGGCAGCCCACCTGAACCCCAGATGCTGACGGACCAGCCCGCTGACACCCCGTCTCCCTGGTCCCCTCCGGCCTGTGACGGTTTCAGTCGCTCCTGTTTTCCGCGGCCTTGACTGTTTCGAAACTGCTCGGGTGTTTCGTGCAGTGTCCGTCACTTGGGGCTCGTCTGGCGTGTGTTCTTGGGGTGACACTGGGGTGTGGGGTTTTGGAAAGCGCACCCCAGAGGTGAGGTGGCCCTCTCGTCACGTATCACTGTACCTGCCGTCCGCTCGACGTTATGAGAGGTGGGCCTGGGTCACCTGGTTCTGGTGGTGTCGCCAGCAGCTCCCCTGTAGGGATGCTCTTTGCCCTGTGCCCCCCGTCTTCTCTGACAGCCAGTCACTGAGGCAGCCCCCCAGGGGGTGGGCTGAAGCTCTGCCTCCGGGGTCCCCTGTCCTGGAATCCTGTCTGGGCCTCTCTCCACGTGGCGACTGCGTGACGGCTGACGTGTGTCCGTCTGCGTGCGTGCTGTTGGCAGAGACCACGACGTGATGGGGAGGGCACTGTTGATTCTGCGGCTCACACGCTCTGGCCTTGGCCATCGGGAGCCCTTGCGCTTGGCTCCCGTGACCCTGGGATGTGCCCCGCCCTGTTTGTGGAGCACTCCTGACTTTCCACCAGGTGCTCCAGGTTCATCCCACGTCCCTGCCTGGCCTCTGGGACCAGCCACTTCTCCCAGGAGCCCTGGTGTCTTCCGTTGGAGAATGACACTTAGAGCCCGTGGTCCGGGCATGGGTGTGGCACTGCTGGGGTGGGGGTGGGGTCACGGCCGAGGTCCTCTCAGCAGACAGAGCTAGGGGACACGCGTCTGTTCAGCTGTGAGTCTAACCTGTGGTCTGGGACCTACCCAGGCCCACAGGGGAACCTGGGCCCCTCAACCTGCGGTCCACTTTCGTACTGGTCCAACCCCAGTGTCCATATAAAGCAGTTTTCGAATTGCCCATCGTGTCTGTGCCCCTGTGAGAAACAGATTCACCAGCTGGAGTACAGTGTTTATATATGTTTATTTGTGTCTTTAATTTTACAGTTTCCAGTCAAAGCACCATTTCCCAGAGGGAGCGAAGTCAGCCCCTTCCCCTACCTGCCTCGGCGCACTGCTGTCACAGGTGTGTAGCTCAGCTGGATTCAGCATTCCAGCCTCAGGCACTTGACCCTCAGGTTGATGTGGGACTTTTTCATACCTGGAAGTTTACTCTTTCTGATGTATATATAGTTTTGTGGGTTTCAACAAATGCAGAGTCCCGTATCCATCATAGTGGTGTATTTTGATGAGCAGAAGTCTTTAATATTGACAAAGTTCAACTTATTGTTTTGTGCTTTCTGTGTTCTATCTAAAAGACTTTCCCCAGCTGAAAGTCACGAAGAGATTCTCCTGTATTTTTCTCCCAGAAACTTCATAGGTTCAGTTTTCTATGAACCTTCATGATCCATCTCTGATTGACTTTTCATATGATTTGAGTCTAGGCTCCATTTTGTTCCACGTGAGTAGTTGTCCTAACCCTATTTGCTGAAAATCTTTTTCCCCGTTGAATTGCTTTGGCTTGTGGTCAGAAGTCGTTTGACTGTTTTCTCGAGGGTCTGCTCTGCCTGCTCTCCCATCGCCAGCTCACTTCAGGCTTTACAGTAACTCTTCTGCTCTGTCCTTGTTTTGAAAATTGCTTTGTCTATTTTGGGCCCTTTGCATTTTCATATAAATTTTAGATTCGGCTTGTCAGTTCCTCAAAAAAAAAAAAGCCTGCTATAATTTTGATTGGGATTGCAGTAAATCTTAGATCGATTTGGGGATAATTTGCATCTTAATAAAATTGAGTCCTCTGACCCATGGACGTGGATTAATAGGTACACTTATTTTATATATATATATATATATGTTTTACCTTATGTCAGTGTCTTTCCATTATTTGGATCTTGAATTTCTCCCAGCAGTGTTTTATAGTTTTTAGTGTACAAAAATTACACATTTTTAATTAAATTTGTCCCCACAAACGAATTATGTTTTGAATGCCATCGTAAATGATATTTATTTGTTTCATTTTCCAATTATTTGTTGCTAGTATATAGAAATAACAATTGGTTTTATATGTTGACTTTATATTCTTGGAACATTGTTAAATTTGCTTATAAATTGTAGTAGGATTTTTGTTTTCTTTGTAGATTTCTTAGGACTTTTCTTGTAAACAATCATGCCACCTACGCAGAGGCAGTTTCACTTCTTTCTAAACTTTGTGGCTTTTGTTTTGTTGTCACACTGACCAGGACCTACAGACAGTGTTGAGCAGAGTGGTGAAGTCTTTAGGGGGAGTGAGCAGCGGTTCACTGTCAGTCTGGTGGTGGCTGTAGGTTTTTTATAGACGTCTTTTATCGAGTTAAGTGTATTTCCGTCTGCTTTTAGTTTGCTGAGAGATTTTTTTTTTAACCATGAGTGGGCTTGACATTTTGTCAGATGCTTGTTTTGCATCTGCTTGAATGGTCATATAATTTTTTTCTCCTTTAAGCTATTAAGGGGATGGATTACAGTGACTGGTTTTTGGATGTCAAGTCAGTCTTGTGTTCTTGGAAAAAACTCATTTGATTGTATTCTATCCCTTTTTATATTTTACTGTATGCAGTTTGCTGACATTTTGTGAAGAGTTTTGAATCTGTGTTCATGAGGCATCTCAGACTGTCTTTTCCCTTGTAACGTCCTTATACCCTGGCCTACCTATCTTTGAGTCTCGCTTGCTGGCCTTATAAATGAATTGAGACACGTTCTACTTACCGAAAGACTGTGCGTAGTATCAGTATTCCTTCCTTAAATGTCTGATAGACTTCACCAGTGCAGCTATCTGGGGTCTTCGTTTTCTTTCTGAGAAGTTTTAAAATTAGGAATTCAGTTTCTTTAATGGATATAAGGCTATTCAGATTTTCTGCTTCATCCTGTGTCATTTTTGGTAATTTGTATCTTTAAATAAACTTGACCATTTCATCCGAGTTGCTGCATCTGTCGGCATAAAGTTGTTTGTAATATTGACCCACCACCCGCCATGTTTGTAGGATTTATGGTGATAGCTTCTCCTTTCGTTTCTGATCCAGATCCTTTGTGTTGGCTTTTTTATTGACTATTTCTGCCAGATGTTTATCAATTTTATTTATCTTTTCAAAGGCCCAACTTTTGACTTTGCTTATAATCTCTAATTTTTGTCCATTTTCTACTTCATTCATTCCCACTCTTATTTTTACTGTTTCCTAGTTTGGGTTTAATTTGCTCTTTTCTGGAAGCATAGTCGATGATTTTACACTTGTCTTCTTACATAGGCATTTAAAACTATACATTTCCTTCTGAGCATTCTTTTAGCTTCTTACACAAAATCTGGTATGTTGCACTTTGTTACCTTTCTGTTAAAAATATTTTAAATTTTCCTTTGTTTGATCCATGAGTTATTTAAGAAGTCCATTGTTTAATTACCAAATATTCGGAGGTTTTCTAAATAGCTTCTGTTATTGATTTCTAATATAATTCCATTACAGTCAGAGACTATACTCTGAATGATTTTGAACCTTTGGAATTCATCATTAATTATTTTAAAGAAAACGTGTATTCCACTTTTGTCGAGTGTCATGTTCTATAATTATCAGTTGAGTTAGTTGATAATAGTGCCCAACCTTTTCATGTCATTACTAATTTTTTGTGCATTGTTCAATCAGTTATTGAAAGAAGGATATTAAAGGCTCCAGCCACGGCCGTGGGTTTGTCTTTTCCTTTTCAGTTTTGCCAATTTATTCTTCATGTATTTGGAGGCCTTTTTATCAAGTGCATACACCCTTAAGATTGATTCATCTTCCCGATGGCCCCCCGTTAGCGTCGTGCACGCTGCCTTTCATCGAAGGCAGTGCTCTTCGCGAACCCTCTGCCCGCTGTCGCTGTCTGTGCGGGAGCGTTCTCACGCGCAGCGTGGCGGGCACTGCCTCACCTGCGCCTCCCGGCCGGCCACATCTTTATAGGTGAAGCTCGTTTCTTATAAAGAACTAATCGCTGAGTCTTTTTATCTGATCTGACAAGCTCTACTTGTTTTTTTATAACTATAAGAACATTTATTGAGACAGTAAGTTTATATGTATTATGTGATTTTATTTTTTCAAAATTGTTTTTATTGTAAAGTATGCATAACACAGGTTTCACTTTAACCACATATAAGTGTGAGTCTTAGTGGCATTAAGTATGTTTACAGCGGTGTGCAGCTATCGCCGTCATTCATCTCCAGAAGTTTCTGATCTCCCTAAACTAAAACTCCGTCCCCCTTAAATGCTAACTCCCCATTCTACCCTGCCCGCTCCTGCCCCTCCCGCCCGTAACCACCAAACTATTTTCTGTCTCTATGAGTTTTTAGAGACCTCGCAAGTGGCATCATGCAGTACTTGACCTTTTCCGTGTGGCTTATTTCGCTCAGTATAATGTCTTCAGGGTTCATCCATGGTGTAACATGTATCAGAATTTTCTTTTTAAAGCTAAATAATATTCCACTGGATGTACATGCCACATCTTGTTTATTCATCTGTCAGTCAATGGACACGGTCGCTTCCGCGTTTCAGCCATTGTAATTAATGCTGCTGTGAACATAGATGCGTAAATATCTAAGACCCTGTTTTCAGCTCTCCTGGGTATATGCCCAAAAGTAGAATTGCTGGGTCAGAGTAATTCTGTGTTTAAGTTTTTGAGAAACCACCATACCATTTTTTACAGTGGCTTTCGACTGCGGCCGCACCTCTGTGCGTGCCTTCCAGCAACAGACGAGGGTTGCAGTCCCTCCACGTTCTCCCGAACGCCTGTCTCTGCGCGCGTGCGTGTGCGTGTGTGCGTGCGTGTGTGTTTCTGTAATAGTCATCGCTATGGATTCCAAGCAGTGCATTTGCATTTTCTTAATGACTAGTGATGTTGGTCTCTACCGTTTATATGTCTGGAAAGGTCTTTATTTCTCCTTCATATGTAAAGGAGAGCTTAGCTGGATACATGATTTTGGGCTGGTAGTTCCTTTTGTTTAATAGTTTGAATATTTGATTCCACTCCTTTCTGGCTTGTAAGGTTTGTGTTGAGAAGTCCGACGATAATCTAATGGGTTTTCCTTTGTAGGTCACTGTCGTCTTTTTCCTGGCTGCCCTGAGAATTCTGTCTTTGTTGTTGATGATGTGTCTTGGTGAAGGCCTTTTTGGGTTGAGAAAATTGGGTGTTCTATTGACTTCTCGAATTCCAAGCTCCAGCTCATTCCTTAGATTTGGGAAATTCTCGTCAGCTGTTTGTCTGAAAAAGCTTTCTAGTCCCTGCTCCTTTTCCTCCCCTTCGAGAAGTCCCATTATTCTTCTGTTTCCTCTCCTGATGGCATCAGCTAGTTCTTGTATTTCTTTCATTATTTTTCATTCTTCGGTTTCTCTGTTCTTCCTTCTGATTTATTTCTGGGTTTCCGTCTTCGATATCACTGACCCTTTCCTCCACTTGGTCAACTCTATTTCCCAAGCTTGTCATTTCATTTGTCAGCTCTTGCAGTGTGTTCTTCATCTCTAGAATGTCTGTTCGGTTCTTCTGGAGGGTTTCAATGTCCTTGCTAAAGAACTCATTCTTCTCATCTAGTGGTTTTTTCAATTCCTGAAATTGTTGATTTGAGTTGTTTTGGATCTCACTGAGTTTTTTTTTCAGAAGTATCATCCTGAATTCTGTCACTTAAGTCGCATATTTCTATGTCTGTAAGTTTATTTTCTGGAGATTTTTCTCTTTCTTTCCGAGATGCCTTGTCACCTTGGTTGTCCATGATGTTTAGTGGACTATTTCTCCGCCTGGGCATTATTGGAAGTGTATTCTGTTGTTCTTCCAGAAAGAACATTTATTATATAAAGGTTTCTCTTCAGCCTGTCGCAAAGAAGGCGTTTTCTTTTGGTTTCCAGTAGGTGGCGTCTAAGCCTCTTGGATCCCTGCTTTATATAAAGTCTTAATAATGCTTTTTAATTTTTCTTGTAGTCAATCCCATTCGCTACCCTCAGTCTCAGTCCCTGTCAGAGTCAGCGACAGGCTCAGCAGCGTTCGCTCAGATTCCCCTGGGGCTCCGCAGTGATTGGTCTCAGAGGGTATGGGGGCAGGGGCCCTCTGGGCTGGGAGTTGGGGGCTGCGGCTCAGCCTCGGTTTTGCGGCCGCGGCCGGTAAAATTCAGCTGTTCTTCTGCTGTCCTGTCCCGCTTCTCTGCTTCCTGCCCCGATGAGTGGCAGGGCTGCTCAGGGAACTCCCGCCCCTTCTCCCCTCGCCCTCCTCCCGCGGGGAGCTGGGCTGGGAGAGGCAGCCGCTCGGGTTCTGGCCTGCGGTAGCGCTTAGGCGCAGACGGGCCGGTGTGCGGTTTGGGAGTTTTTGCTGAGTTTTAGGTGTTCAGCTTACTGTTGTTTCAAGGGGACGTCTCTCATGCCAATCTCTAGGATTTTTCCGGTCTCTGCTGTTTAGTTGGACTATTAAGTCCGTTCACATTCACTGCAGCTATCGGAGTATTCGGATTTAAATCTACCATCTTGACTTTTGATTTTTTTCCCCATCTGTTTCTCTGTTCCTCCTTTCCTCCCTTTATTTTAGGTAAATCAGGTTTTTTAAAATTCCATTTTATTTCTTCTGCTGACTTTTTAGTTCTTCCTTTTTGTTATTTTTTAGTGGTTCCTCTAGAGATTAAATATGCATGTTTAACTTATAGTCTACCTTAAAAATATTCTTGTACCTCACAAAAACGTGAGGGCCGTATGCAGCGGGTCCTTAGGCACCGCCCGCTCCTAGTGCTTTTGGCATATATTTTACTTCTATGTATGCTAGAAAATTCTGTGACAGTTATTTTTACTGTAGTCAGTAGTCGTTTCAAACAGTTAAAGGTGTATTATCTTTTTTTTTTTTAATCTTGGAAGCTTTTATTCGTTCGACTTCCTGTAGCATTGCACCATACTTGGCCAGACCTGCTAAATGTGTTAGAGGAACATTGTAAAACAAACGAACAGCAAGCGGTCTTCCTCAGGTCCTGTCGAAGCTCCTCAGACAGCAGGTTAGTGCGGTGCGTCAGGAGAGGCTCTGGACTCAGAGGCCTGGCCCAGCCCTCCCCCGTCACCCCGCCACCGCCTTCTGGGGGGCCTCGTGCAAGCCTGCTCCCTCTTTAAAATGGGTGACAGCAGGCATTGCAGGCAGGGCAGGATGCGTGACTGTGCGGGTCACCTGGAGCCCCTGCAGCGGTGTGTAGGCGCCGGCCCAGCTCCCCCGTCAGCCTGGGGACGTGAGCTTTCGTGGGAGGACAGACCTCGGAGGATCGGTTGTTAATGGGCTTGTTCTTTGGGGAATGCTCTAAAGATGGAAGGAGCTAATAAAATAATGTTAAAGGGGACGCGTGACCTGAAGTTTCTCGGCTGGGGGACCACACGGCGCGAGCACTGTGGCGGACAGCGGCGGGTTCGGACCGGTTGGCGCGCCTGCCTTCTCTGGTCATCCCAAGCTCGCTGTTTACTGAGGGCAGCGAAGACGCACGTCCACACCAGGGCGTGTACGACAGTGCCCGCCGCGCCGGCCTCCCTGGCACCAGGTCTGCCCGTCAGAGGGCACGGGTAAGGGGGTCTCGAGTGTCCTCACACGTGGGGACGTCCAGCCACACTGCAGCTGAGGACGGAGGACTCTAGAGTGCTGTGCAGACTTGGGGGACAGACGCGACGTGCACGTGCTGAGTGGCCACGGACCAGAAAACGCAGACTCTGCAGCAGGCCTGGGCCAGGGGTCGAGAGGGCGCGGCGAGGGCTGTGTGGACGATGATGGAGGAGGCCGTGCGAGCAGTGTAGACAGCGGTGCAGACACTGCAGGCGGCGCAGGTGGTGGAGGTGGCGGGGGCGGTGGAGGCACCGAACTCCTGGGTCGCACCGTGAGGCTGCAGCTCCCTGTGAATCTCGCCCCGCAACTCGACCGACGGCAGCTGAGAGTGGGTGGGAGTCCTGACTTTGATTTCTCAATTGCAGTGGTGTTTTGTGACTTACGTGACCCAGGGGACCTGCTTGCCAGAGAGCGAGCAGAAGAGCCTGTGGCTTCTGGACTTTCCCAGGATGCCGGGGGGAGGCGGTTTCCGCTGGGCAAGGTTATACGGACCAAAGGAAGCGGGGTTCAGTCACACCCTGTAGGGAAGGCTCAGAGCATGTGCACCACCAGTTCTGGCTAGTGGGGCTTCACGTCATAGAAAGGAGGGAGTGCCTTGGGGAGGCATGCGTCCTTAATGGGGCGCCTGGCAGGGCTTCCGTCTCCCGGTCAGCACTAGACCAAGCCCGGCATAAAGCAGGCGGTGAAGGACAGGCAGACCCCCAGCCCATGTCCTCACCCTGCTCGCTCAGGAGTGTTACCCCAGCCTTTCCCTGTCCCTGCTTGGGGAGGCTGCCTGGGCAGTGGTGCTCCCCATGACCACCAGGTGGGAGCTCTTGGTCCCTGGGCTATTTAAGGGAGCAGTCCCTCACCCCCACCCAGGAGCGGAGCAGGGGCAGTTCCCAGGAACCTGAAACTGCCCGCACAGGCATGGCCTCGCCCCCGCAGGTGGTTTTGTCGAGCGAGGGATCTTAAAGGTGACTTGTACATGTCAACATAGTTCTGTAGCTGTGTTTGGGACTGATTGTAGCTATGGTTACTCCCTTGCGAGGTAACAGAAATTCATTAAACGTGTTTAACGGTCTACTTGAGGGGCCGTGTAGGTCAGAGGGCCCCCCGCCTCACTCGCAGGTAGGTGTGGCCCCAAGTCACACGGGCAGTCATACGTTTCAGTGTTCGGAAGGTCACTCACCTCACGGGGCTCCATTTTGGCAGTCTGTGCTCTTATCCATCTCCCCGCAGAAGTCTCTCTGCTCCAGCACGGTCCTGTGTCTTGGGGTTAGACACCGGCTTTCATCGTTTCAAGTGGATGTCTTTCATGCCCTCTTCTGTGACACAGGTGGCGTGAGCAGCAGAAACCTGTAACATTAAGGGTCCCCAGCTGGCCTGTGTCTGCCCCAGAGGCACCCTCACCACATAAGTGGTCCATCTCAGGGTGAAGAAGCTCGAGATGCAAATTAGGGTTTTGCTAGAACAGAAGGAGGTGACAGGCAGCCTAGCCACATCTGAACTTGTGGATAGAAATGGCTCACCCACCCCCTTCTGCTCAGTCCAACCAGGAAGTGGCTGGTGGACAGCTAAAGCTGCCAGACGAAGGAACGAGGCCGTCCAGGGCCCAGACCCAGATGGCTGGCCACGGCCCCTCCGGTCCCCTGCTGGGGGCTGGAGCAGCAGGGGCCGCGGCTCTGGCCTGGTTGGGCTGCGCAGTGGCAGGCAGCGGGCCTCACCCATACCTTGATTCGCAGGCCTGGGAGCAGCGGGACGCGGCCTGAGACACCTGGACCAGCTGACCCGCCCTGAACGCTGACTGCCAGCGCATCCTGGAGGGCCAGGTAACCGTCCGCTGTGGCCGGCCGGGCGCCCAGGGGGTGGACTGCGCGGCACAGCGCCCCTCTCTGTTGCAGACGCTGCGTGCGTGCGGGCCATGGCGCTGCAGCGGGCCGTCCTGCTGGCAGGCCTCCTGCTGGAAGTCGCCAGCAGGTCCTCAGCGAGTGCGGTAGGTGTCCCCGCAGAGCCCTGCCCCAGACCCTCGCCCAGGCTGGGGGCCTTCACCCCAGGGTCTCACCCTCTGACCGTTAGCGGTCCTGGCCCCAGGGACACTGACCGCGCCCACCGTCAGGGTCGGAGGGCAGCAAACTTGAGGCCCCACCTCTTGTTTCTGCTTGTTCTGCCAGCTAGAACCTTCCATCTCTGCCAGACTGGACCTGTGGCTGGAATAGGGTCTCGGCAGGGTGGCCCCCGCAGGCACTGCATAGAGCCGGGGTGAAGGGGGCCTGCTCCCTGCAGGCTCTCAGGGACACTGACCGCGCCCACCGTCAGGGTCGGAGGGCAGCAAACTTGAGGCCCCACCTCTTGTTTCTGCTTGTTCTGCCAGCTAGAACCTTCCATCTCTGCCAGACTGGACCTGTGGCTGGAATAGGGTCTCGGCAGGGTGGCCCCCGCAGGCACTACATAGAGCCGGGGTGAAGGGGGCCTGCTCACTGCAGGCGAGCAGTGGCATCGGCTGGGTCCCCGCGGCCAGGCTTCCTGGCTCTCCCAGGCCCGTGACACGGGTGTGCAGAGCTGTGGTCTTGGGGGAAGCCTGGCTGTGCCCACACATGCCCGGCCGCACGTCACCTGGGCCGAGAGGAACCTTCCCGCCGCCCTGCCTCTGCCAGGGTTGGGTGGGGTGGGGCGGGGCAGCTTGGCCCTGGCTGTGAGCCAGCCCTCAGCCCCCCACCCCACCATAGCTGTGAGGACACTCCTCAGTCGCCCCTTAGATGCCCCTCCCTGTTCCCTGTGTTCCGGGCACAAGGAACAGACGATCAGCTGTGATGGACACACCGAGCCGAGAGCCCCCAGAAACCCCATCGCGGCCCGTCTAGCACATGGAGGCTGGCACTCAGCGCCCCCACACCCCACAGTACCCCGTCCTGCACGTGGGCAAGCAGGCCCCAGCTCGTCCCCTGAGGCACTGCCCTGGGCCAGGCACATCCTCTGCGGGAACCAGGCTGGAGACCCCCGAGGGAGGGGTGTCCGTGGGAATGCAGAGGACATCAGTGGAGTGACTGGGCCCAGAGCAGGGGCTTCACTCGAAGTAGGGCAGACATGCCCGTGCTGGCCGCCCAGGCCCGAACCGTGGAGGCCAAGGGCCTGCGTTTATCTCCACGTGTTACCACATCTAGAAAACCTGTCTCTTTTCCATGGGAGTCTGGGATGGGCAGTAGGACTCAGCAGCTTTCATTGCTTAGTTTTCCAAGTTACCATCTGGCAAATGACAGCAAATACACATAATTTCTTGGGTTGAAATGACTCCTGCCCACTTGTGGTCCTGCTCCAGGCTCCAGCCCCACACGGAGGGATGGCGCAGCCCTGCCACATCCCAGGCCAGGCCTGCAGTGATGGCCAGGTTGGCGGCGGAGGGGTGACCGCGTGAACCATAGAGTACCCGTGGGCCAGGACGGGCCCAAGGACTGCGCCCCGCCCTGCCAGCCTGCCCCCCAGGGGCTCCCAACGGCTTCTCTTTCATGGCTTTTGGGGGTCTGGGTGCTGGAGAATGGTTGTGTATCCAGTCATCAAGCTCTGTCCCAGGGAGTGGCCATGCGGTATGGCCATGTGTCCTCACTTAGCCTTGGTAAGCAGGGGACAGTCACCCCACACTGACTAGCAGAGGCTAGAGCTGTGGGTGTGGGACGAGCGCTCAGGGGCCTGCTCTGTGGACGCCACCCTGGGCCTGGCCTGCCTGTCCTGCCACACTGCCTGCTGCGGGGCCTGGAGGCTGACTGCCGTGTCCCCTTTAGGGCCAGCAGTCCGAGTGTTGTGTGGACGTGCTGGATGTCAACACCACCTGCGCGGGCACAAGCCTGTGTGGCCCAGGTAAGCACTTAGGCGTGCGTTGACCGAGGCCAGCCTTGGTTACCAGAACGGCCGCTGGCGCATGCTCTGGAGCTCACCACACCCACCTGTTGTGAGCAAGGAGCATGCAGGCCCCCCAGGAGGGACGCTGCAGGGGGTCCGGGAGCTGGGGGAGGGGAGAGGGAGGGGCAGTTCATGGGCAGATAAGCCTCTGAGACGTGGGCAGAACTCGCCTGCTGTCCAGACGGCTATTGGTTCCTAGCGAAGCGTGACTTACCTGTCTGCAGTCACCCCCCTCTGCCACAGCGAGATTCATTTGCTTTCGAAGTCGACCTGGCCCAACCCACTCAATCACCGTGCGAGTGTGGCAGGCGGGGTGGCCCCAGGCCTTTCACAGGGAACCTGAGACTAAAGGCCTTGAGGCGGGAGGCCCAGGATGCGCCTTCAGACCTCGCCCGCAGTGCGTATAGGTCTGGGTGACCCTCTGTGCTCAAGGTCCCCACACACTCTGCGGTTCCCGACCCTGCCAGGGGGTGACTGTCCCCACCGCCCTGGTACGCTGCAAACCTGCTGGCGGGGGGCCAGGCGGTTTTCCCAGGGGCCTCGGCCAGTCCGCCTCAGCCCCTCAGGCCTGCCCTGTCGCGGGCCCTGCTGTCTAGCCAGCTGCGCCCGGCCCCTGCACACCACACAGCTCTGTTGGTGCCAGGAGCCGCCGTGTGCCCCCCGTGGCCCGCCCCTGCCCAGGAACACCAAGGGAGGTGACAGCCCGTAGTTAGAGGAGAAGCCCCGTCGTCCCAAGAAGCAAGGACCAGTTTCTGACACTGCGTGAGGCCCCGTGCTGGGCCCCGTGCTGGGCCCCTGTGGCTGGGCCTTTCCTACAGCATCATGGGATCTCACGCTAGTCTCCGCTGTGCCCATGCTGCTCCTCAGGCCGTCACTCGGTGCCACTGCGGAAAGGCCCTCCTCACACCGACCCATTCATGTAGATCGAATGCTGGCAAAATTCATCATGAAGGGCCTGCGGGCCTCGGCTCGTGCCCAGACCTGCCCAGGGCCCACACTGGCCGTCAGCCCGCGGCACGGTGTGCGTTCACTCAGCCTCCATGCCGTGTCGGGGTCAGGGAACAGGAAGGGGCGGAGACACGCTGCCCGCCCTTGGAGCAGCTGGCAGCGTGGAACGTCTGCAAACTGCTGGCCGCCTGCTCCCAGCTCCGGGGTGGGCAGCTCTCTGGGCCTCCGGCCGGGGGAGGGGGTGGGCAGGGGTGGCGCTGCTGGTGGCAGTGACAGTGTGGGACCCCCGGGGAGAGTGCAGGGCCAACAGAAACCAAAGGTCACACCTGGGCTAGAGGAAGCGCTGCTGGCCGTGGGGTGGGCGGAGAAGTCCAGGCCCCGGTGGCAGGTGGCAGAGCGCCTGGCCTCTGGCCCTGCCCGGAGCGTGCGGCCCAGGGGCATGTGGCCCCGGGGCCTGTGTCTGCTCCAGGTCCCGCCCCGGCCCCTGATGTGTGTTCCGAGATGAGCACGTGGGGCTCGGTGAGCTTCCTGCGAGCCTGCTCTTCTCCTGAAACCGGGTGTCACTGCGTCCCAGCTTCCGGTTGGGCTGTTTGGCCGGCTCAGAATGGGGCCTGCCCTGGGAGATGCGAGCTGGGCGGGTGGGCTTGCCCTGTGCCGCGTTGGGCCTCCCGCCGCCTCCCCCGACAGGGTGCTACGGGCGCTGGGACGAGGATGGGAGCGTCCGCTGTGTGCGCTGCAGGAATGGGACGCACAGGGGCTCTGAGTGCAGAAGCCGGGCGTCGCGGCCCCTTCACCCCACGCCCCCACCCCTCCACGCCCGCCGGCCTGCTTCTCACGGAGGGTCCACGTCTCCGAGTTCTGGAGGACCTGGTGGGGGACGCTTTTCTTATTCCCAGGGCAGCGGGTGGCCCACTCCCCCAGGACCCATGTCCCTGAGTCTCCTGTCCATTCAGGACAGCTGTGGGGTGACAGCCACTCCACCTCCACGGTCACCTCCCTTCCCATTTCTGGCCCGCAATTCCACTTTGGGCGGTGTCTCCAGCTCCCCGGGGGTCCTCATGGGGTCCCCACTCATGGTCCAGGACACCCCCCGCTCCCCATGGGTCTGGGCCGTCCCCGGAACTGGCAGCTCTGACAGCATTGCCCCCACAGTCGCTGGCCGGGGTGCGCAGTCCCCGGCGAACAGGAGCGCAGGGACGCCCGGGCGGCCGAGTTCCGGTAAGTCTCCTGGCTCGCCAGACCAGAGCCAGTCCGTGTCCATAGTCCGGTCCGACGCCACCAGAGCCCTGAGGTTCGGGGACCCAGCCCGGGTCACAGAGCGGGCCAGTGGAGAGCCGGCAGCCTGGGCGGGAGGCCTTCGTCACGGCCCTCCCTGGAGCCACTGAGTGGTTCTCGGTGGGAGCCTATGCCTCGCTTCTGCCCACTGAGCCCTCGGTCTCCCGAGGGCCCCTGAGGTCCCCCCGCCCCATCCCCACTGGCTCTTCTAGGACGTAGGGCTTGGGGGAGCCTGCGAACCCTGCCACCCGCTCCTGGCCCCAGAGGGCGGACACCCAGACGCCTCGCGCCGGGCCTGCTGTCTGCCAGGTGTCCTGTGCTCCCACATGTGCCCACCGTGCTGTGGGGCGCGGTGCCCAGGCCACTGGGGCCACAGTCAGGGACCTGCCCCAGGTAACACCCACACCCTCTGAGGTGACTGAGTTGGCGGGTCGTGTCCCCCAGACCCCGGTCCTTCCTCACAGGGCGTGCTGGACCTGGATCGAGGGCTCAGATGTTCTGAGCCTCACGGGACCAGCGGCAGGGGCGTGGCGCTGACCTGGACCAGGGGCCGCCAGGGCCAGGGTCTAGGCCGGGTCGAGGCAGACGGCCGCCCTCCTGTGATGGGGCGCAGAGGGATGGAGGCCGGGCATCTGGCTGTGGAGGGCACCTTAGGGGCTGGAACACATCCCCGTTCGGATCAGGAAGTCACCTCCTCACATCTGACGGGTCCCTGCCAGCCAGAGCCCTCGGCCTTCAGCCCGCAAGCCTGACCCGACCCCATACAGGTGGGAGGGCGTCGTGGCTCTGGGAGGGACACTGGAGGTGACAGCACACAAGCTCCCAAGAGGCAGAGTAGCAGTGAGAAGCCCTGCCTCTCGTTCAGGGCCTCGGCTCCGTCTGGAGGAGCGAGGCGGGGGGCCTGCTCCATGTCCCACCTTCCTGGAGAGGTCGGGCAGTGCCCCCAGACCGCGCGGCCAGCGTCCCCGGCCTCGTGTTCCGCAGCGCCGCCCTTGCTTGCAGGGGGCCCCGGAGTGGCAGCCTCGCTCTTCCTGGGGACCTTCCTTGTCAGCTCCGGCCTCATCCTCACCGTGGCCACGTTCTTCTACCTGAAGCGCACCAGCACGCTGGCCTGGCTGTGCCACGGAACAGACAAAGGTACCTCCTCGGGCCACTGTGGCCACCCTGCCCAGCGCCCCATGCCAGGGCACAGAGGGAGCCGAGCTGGAGGTGGCCCAGATGCAGGGTGTCCAGCCACGAAGCTTCGAGAACACAGCAGGGGGCTGGCTCGTCACACGGATCTCGGGTCTGAGATGAGGGGCGGTCACTCCCCAGGAACGCTCTCATGCGGACTTCGTGGGGTCTCTGCGGGAAGGGCCCTGGGTGAACTTGCACCTTGAGTGGCCGCGGCGGGGTGCTGAGGGGGCGAGTGAGGTGGCATCCCTGCCCCGCTGGGATTGGGAGCAGCCAGGCCAACCCAGCTGACCCCGGGCCTGGGTGCCGGCTCTGCCTCTCCCGAAGAGACAGGTGTCACTCCTGCTGTGCCAGGCAGGTGGTCCAGCCCATGAACCTGATCCCTCAGTGGACAGTGCCAGTGGGCAGTCAGCGCTGGGCACCTCAGTGGGGCCGATGCAGCCCTGTGGTCCTGAGGTGGGCTGGTCACGCTGCCAGTCAGAACAGGGCATTCGGAGTCACGTGGGGGAGCCTGCTGCAGTGCTGGGCACAGGAGTCCCATGTGTGTGCGGCGCAGGGGGCTCACTCCGTGTCTCCAGAGCTGGGCTTGGGCAGCCTCAGGAGCCACAGCCCAGGGAGAGGCCAGGGCGGGCAGGGGAGCATGGTGACATCTCCGGTGGGGGCGGGGTGTTCTCCCCGAGGCACCTGGGAAGCCGGGAGGGGCCGGGCGCTCAGTTCTGGGGGCACCGGGGGCCTGGGGAGACACACTCGAGGACTGACGTGTCCACTCTGCCAAGGGCGGAAAGGTGGAGCCTGGCGAGGGGCTGCCACCCGGGTCCCACTGGGAGCGGTGGCCAGGCAGGCGTCCAGGCCGAGGGTACCACTGGCAAAGGTGCAGAGGTGGGACAGGGCTGAGCCTGGAGAGAACCGCACAGGCCCCGGGTCCCCACCCCAGGTCTCCCAGTGACATGTGTGCTCTTCCCCACAGCCCCGGCCTTGCAGCCTGGTGAAACTGTAAGTGGCCTGGGTGGGCTGGCACCCCCCGCGTCACTTGCCCGCGTGGGTGCCTGCAGGCCTGACTGTGCCTTTTCCCTTACCCAAGGCCGCCATGATCGCCCCGCCACCGGCCTCAGGTACGTCAGCTTCACTGCTCCTTGCCTGCCGGGTCTGCTGTCTGGGCGAGAATTTCAAAATGCCACCCGTCTGCAGGACCAGCTGCCCTGCAAGGACAGCCGGGCGCTCAGTGACCGGTGGCCCCCAGCTGTTCCGGGTGCCAGCTGAACCCCCTGGCTGTTCAGGGTGCCGGCTGAGCCCCCTTAGCTGTAACTTTTGCACGTTTTCTCGCTCTTTTCTGAGATGTTGGGTCTGCTGGAGAGGAGAGTCTCCAGCGAGGGGCCTAGTCCATTCCTCCTGTGGCCCCTCCTGTGTGGCTGGTGCTTCAGGTTCGCGGGGTGAGGCGTGTCCTGCCTCAGACGGCTCCAGGTGGTGTGGGCACATGACACGGTGAGCGGAGAGGTGACAGCCACAGGCCACAGAGCGCCTTCCTGGGTCTCCCCAGTGGGAGTTGTTATCACTCGGGGTAGGTCTGAAGTGGGAACGGGAGAGGACGCCCCTCTCTGCAACAGGGAGGGCACCTGGCGAGGGCTAGGTGCACCCTGCTCTGTAGGATGCTGGTCTGTGATTTCTCGGCAGTAGACTACGGCATCTGAGTTTCCTGCATGCATCTTCTTGGGCCCCCATGTCAAACGACCACAGGCTGGGTGGCCTGGAACAACAGACACGCATGCCCTCAGCTCAGGAGTCCAGAGCCAGAAACGGAGGTGGGATGGGGGCCCCCTCTGAGGCTCCAGGGCACGGCCCTTCCTGCCGCTCCCGGCCAAGGCCTTGGTGGCTCCCGGCGTCCCTGGGCTGTGGCCTCGTTTCTCCAGCCGCTGCCCCCATCTTCACGGGGCTTCTCCCCTCTGTGTCTCCTCCTTCTTACGAGGACACAGGTCGCTGGGTTTAGGGGCCCCCAGATTATCCAGCAGGATCTCATCTTGAGATCTTCCCCTCAGTCACATCTGCAAAGACCCTTTTCCCAAGTGAGCTCACTTGGGCAGGTTCTGGGGCTTAGGACGTGGACACACATTGTGGGGCCCCCACCTGGCCCTGCAGTGCACCATGTGACCCACTCTTTGGCATGCCAGGCCCTGCCCGGGTGGCAGGGCGCGAGGTTCAGGCACATCCGTGACGAAACCTCCCATCTGTAGCCACTCGGCTCGCCGGCGGGCGCTCAGCAGCCGCCTCCCTGTGGCGGCTCCCCGCCGGCTGAGTGCTCAGGTGAGGGCTGTCCCTGGCGTCCCAGGCCCCACTGACCCCCCGTCCTCCCCCCGTTTCAGTGCGGAAGCCACGCTACGTCAGGCGCGACAGGCCCTTGGATAGGGACACGGGCCCCATGGCCGTCCCCTCGGTGGACGCCCGGGTCAGCAACGTCTGACAGCTCCTCACGGCGCCGTGGAGGCTGGCACGAGGGCACGCGCTGCCCACAAGGCCTCTGGACTTGCCTGGACTCGCCCCTGGCTCCACTTCCCACCGCCTGGCAACAGATGCCCAGTGGGGACCCGCCCACCCACCGCTGCTCGGCATAGCTGACCAGGACCAGGTGTCCCCGACACAGGCCAGGGGCGAGGCTGTGAGGACAGTGTGCTCCCAGCGGCCAGCAGCCTGACAGAGCCTGGGCCCCGGAGCCTGCCGTGGGCAGAAGCCCCTACCCCGTGGGCAGCACAAGCCGGGTGACCCCAGCACCCCTCTACGAGTGAGGCCTAGGCCTTTGGCTGTTCCAGCTAGTGTCTGGGTGGGGGTCGGGGCAGGGCCTGGGAACCGCTCCCGGGGCCAAGGTGCTGGCAGCGTTACCCCACTACGGCCCCACTGTTTCCAGGAGGTGCAGAGGCAAGGTGCCTGGTCTCCTCCTGTCTTTCTAAGCAGACGTGCATCTCGTAGACAAGTTCCAGGCACTGCTGTGCTCTGCCCGCCATGCCTGGCCTCGGTATCATGGGGCCTCGTCCTCCCAGGTGTGCACCCTCGCCGGCCGCTGCTGGAGGGCCAGGTTGGGCCCCCACAGGGACGTGCCTGCCCAGGGCCATGCTCACCTGCGATGGCTGCCTGGGTTGTCTGGTCCTGGCTGACCCGCAGTGGCCGGTGGTCCTGCCTCGGCCTTGGGTTTCCATGCAGAAAGGGGCGAGCATGGCCGCCTCTCACGCACTGGGCTCGGCACTGGCCATCCTTCCCCGACGCTCGGCCGTGACCCATGTTTCCCCTTCAGTGTCTGGCTCGTGTCCGAGGGGTCTGAGGCAGGGCCCGTGGCCAGCCTCCCGTGGTCTCCTGCTGGTGACGCCCGTCTGACACTGCGTTCGCTCTCCGTTATGGAGACTTGGACCAGCAGCCCACACGACAGCTGTGAGCAGTGTCAAATAAACTATTCAGGGCCTTCTCTTCCTGTCCTCACCACTCCAGGTCCCTGAGAGGGAGTGCTGCCCCTCACTGGGGGTGGGAGGGTGGGCGAGGGGATGGACCGCCCCCGAGGCCGTCACTGAGTCCTCCACGGAGCCCCCACCTTTCTGGGAGGAGGCCTTGTCCCAAGCTGCCTCGTGCACACGGGAGACAACCCAGTGGCCCTTCATCCCCCTCATCCCTGAGTTGGGAGGAAGTGTAGGTTCTTCTTTGGGGGCTTTTCTGTGAAAAAAACAGCCAGGCCTGGTGGTGACCACAGGCCACCTGCACAGACAGGACACTCATGGGCCCAGCTCACAGCCCCCAGGAAGAAGTTACAAATGGGCATGGTGCCTGCTGGAGACACCTCAGCGAGGCAGGTCCCCAGGCGGATGGCTCTTTGGCAGGGCTGGTGAGCATGAGGACATTCGCCAGTTGGCGGTGGGGTGGCCAAGGAGGGCCCAGGGCATCATGCTTGGACGTCCCGGCCAGAGCTAGCCAGGACTCAGCTATACAAGGATGGCCCTACCTAGGGGGAGCAGGGAGCTTCTCCCGTTTCTGGCCGTCTGTCCACTGTCTCCTTGAGGGCGTGCCCCTAGACGCCTGCTCACCCGTCCCTGGGAACACTGACTGAGGTTTGCAGCCGTCAGGGCAACTGGGGGAGTGTCTGCTTGGCTTGGGCCTGGGCCTGGGCCTGGGCCCCCGCCAGGCCAGGGCGGGTGGGGAGCTCTGTCTGCCCAGCCAGGGGGCACAGGAGGGATCCCAGGCTCTGTCCTCTGTTCTGGGGACAGCCACCCTGGGCACTGCCACCCTGGGGACAGCCACCCTGGGCACTGCCTGCTTCCATGGCCAGCAGCCTCCCCAGGGCCCAGCTGTGGCGCAGGGAAACAGCCCGGGGTCCACCTGTCCCTGAGCGGCTTCTGCTGCCGGGGAGGGGTGCCTAGCCAGACGGAGGCCTCCTGGTGGCCAGCGCGCCTGGCAGCAGCACGGGCCCCGGGAGCTGAGGGGAGCACACGGCCTGCACACCTTCCTGCCCTTCAGCAGGCTCCCGTGTGGCCTCTGCCACCTCAGCGGGCGTGGGGACAATCCGGGGACCTGGATTGTGCCCCTGTGGGCACAGCTGTTCTCGGTCGCCTTTGCAAGGGAAGGGGACCCAGGCAGAGGGGGAGGCCAGGGTCAGGGTCCCCACCAGCTTCAGGGACCAGAGGGAAGGGAGAAAGCATGGCACAGCCAGTCTGCACATAGCCCCTGAGGTCAGGGGAGTGGACCAGGGAAGCTCACACCCTCTGCTCCCATGTCGACACCCAACCGGGCTGCTAATTTGGGGGCAAAACAAGAACCAGCTCTGTTCAACCAGGACAGCACGGCCGCCAGTCAGGCCCTGGAGGTCCAGGCCAGACACAGATGGAGGGCCCTCCCCAGCCCATCCCCACCTCTGAGTGCTCCCCACCCTCTTCCCCTCCCACCCTGAAACCCAGGGTCATTTGGGCCAGCTCCATGTCCCTCGCACAGCCCACCCTGCAGGTCCTGTGCCCCCGCAGCAGCAAGGACTCAGCTGGATTTGAACTTACCCCAGCCTGCAGCCCTCCACTCCCAACGCTCCGATGCCCAACCACAGGTCTGATTGCGGCCTGGCCCCTTTGGCCCTCAGCCAAGCCAGCCTCCTCTCTGCTGCTGGGCACCCCTGGGCCTGGGTGCGACTTTCTCAGGCCCCCAAGTAGTGGGGGTGGGGTCCTTAGACTCATCAGGCTGGAAAGCGGGTGGGTGGGCCAGTAGGGTGTGAGGGCACCCACCCCGTGTCTGCTTTCCTGAGCCCTCACTCGGGCTTCAGGCCCTCATGCCAGAGGCCAAAATGGGGCTGATTTGTGGGGTCATCAGCTCAGACCAAAGCAGGCAGTTGGGGCGCCTGTACCCTCTTGGTCCCCCACCACGTCAGGCACCACAGGAGTGTTCAGGGGACTGCACCCTGCCCCAGGGAGCGGGCAGCGGCCACAGCCCTGAGGTCATGGATGCAGCTCGGCCACTCGCCCCTCATTCACTCAGCGCGAGGAGAATTGCTGAGGGCCAGCAGAGGCCAGCAAGAGGGTGGCCGTTAGGCGGGTGCATGGGCCAAGTGGGGCCAAGGACGAGGCAGCGATGCGAAGGTAGGGGCCTGGGCACGGGACCTCAGAAGGTGCCAGCCACAGCAAGATGGGGCGGCAGCCAGGCTGAACTTTGGGGACCTAGCTCTCACTGCTGGGGTAGGGGGACGGCACTGCTGAGCACACCTGATGTGCCAGCAGAGCCGCCTTGGAGGCAGCCCAGCACCACAGGGCAGGCCGGGACTGGACCCCGGCACACAGCCCCCGCCTCAGCTGAGTGGCCCTCGGGTCTCAGGGCACCTGGGCCCAGGGTGAGCCTGAAAGGCCTGTCCGATCTTGGCCCGTCCGATCTTGGCCCGTGTGCCAGGAGCGTTCGGAGCTGAAGCAGAGCTGCCCCGGTCTTCGGCGTGGGGGCCACGGCCGGGGGTACGCAGTCTTCTCTGCTCCCCCTGCTGAGGGCAGAGTGTGTCCACCCAGGACGCCTAGGCATCCCAGGGCTCAGGGCCCCCATCAGACAGCCACACTGGATGGGGGTCGTCAGAGCCTCGTCTCCTCCCAGCCCAGTGAGCTCCGTGCTCCCCTCACACCTGAGCGTGCACTTGCCTTCCCGGGTGACATGCGTGCTCACGCTCAGCCAGGTGAACACGCTGGTGCACACATGCCTGCCCACACACTCACAGGCACAGCTGCCCCTCCGCTTGGTGGCTGAAGAGCAAGCAGGCGTGTGGGGACCCAGCGGGCTGCCCAGGTCCCAACACCAGGGTCTAGCCCCGCCTCTGGGCTGTGAGACTAGTCACACCCAGATGGCACATTCCTCAAGTCCTGTCCCTGTGCCTCTGGGCACTGACTGTCCCCAGTCGGGTGACCTCAGAGCTGGGATATTCCCAGGAGCCCTCAGGAGGGTGTTCTCAGGATAGAGGGACAGAGGACACTTCCTGGAGGCAGCATGTGACCCTGGGTCACAATCCCCATGGGAACTGGAGCCCCATAATGCATGGGCTGGGCCAGGCCCTCACACAGAGCCTCCCCACACTGAACTGCCACCCTCTGCTTGAACTCCAGCCCCCGCGCTGGGTCTCTACTCCCCATCTCAAAGGTTCACCCCCTCTCGGAGTCCCCAGCCTCCTCTCTGAACCCCCACACCCCTCTCTGAACCCCCATACCCTTTCAGCCCCTACATCCCCTCCTTGAGGCCCCATTCCCCTCTCTGAGCTCCCTGGCCCCTGTCCAAGCCCCCACTCCCCTCTCTGAGCCAGCACCCCCTCTCCGGGACCCCTCATCACATGTCCCTCTGAGACTCTTCACCCTCATGACACAGGAGCCTCGGCCCCCTCCTGAGTCTAGGTCCCCCCTTCTCCTGCAGGGGTCGGGCACTCCCCACGCCCTCTCACAGTCAACCCACATCTCAGCCTCCACGTGAGCTGGCGGCCCCATGTCCCCGCGGCTGGCCCCTCCTGGGGTCCCGTTCCCAGGCAGCCTGGTCTGTGCACCCACTTCCTAGTGCTGCGGGGTCTTCTCCTGCTGACCTCAGAGCTTCCAGTGCTCCTGGGGCTGGGCAGCCTCTAGGCCTGAGGCGGTGGGTGAGCACGGTCTGAGGCTAGCCCTGTGGGTAAGGCAGGCCATCCCCCAGCAGGGAGTCCCCACTCCATCCCCCTCAGCACTGGGGGCCACCGCCCTGAATCTGGCTCGTGCCCTGAGTGTGTGCTGCGCTGCAGGGGTGGGGGTAGGGCCAGGCGTCTGGGGGGCGTGGGTGGGTGAGGGGTGCTTCTGTGCTGCCGGATGGCCTTGGTGCTTCCGGCACAGCCCCTAGCTCTGAGTGCAGGCTGACCCCGTGGCCCGCTAGGACCCCGCGCTGATGGGCCGAAGCCACTCCCCCTCCCCCAGGACAGCTTCCGGACCTCCAGGTGGGTCAAGGGCTTCCTTAGGCTCCAGGGGCCCACGTGTGTAACCCAGGCTGCCCCGAACACGTCCTTGTGGCCCACCTCGTCCCTGACTCATCCTTACCCCTGACTTTATCACTTGGGGCTGCTCCCAGCCCTGATCTCTCACCCTGCTCCCTGGACCCAGAGCTCTCGGGGGGGCAGAGGCAGCAGAATCACAGGTTTGGGGGGCTATGCATGTGAACACCGGGTGACCCATGTGTGAACACATGCACATGAGCAGAAAGTACCCACAAGACGGTGGCAGGGGCAAGAATGGGGGCGGTGGCTGTCAGGCAGCAGTGAGAAAGGGCGTGACAAGTTCGGCTGAGGTTGGGGGGCCGCCCAGAAGCTCGGGGTTCTATTCTGAACAGGGGCTACAAGTCTGTCGTCCAGAGGGGGTGCGGTTCCAGTTCCCTGGGGGTGGTAGGGGGAGTTTCCAGGCACCCAGGCCCCCCAGACCTGCCCGGGCTGCAGAGGCCTGCACCGACCCCAGCCCCGCCCCAGGCTCTGGCCTCTCCTGGGACTCCCCGCCCTCTGTTGCTCAGCCTGCCAGGAAGAGGACGGGAGGCCGGCCAATCCCAGAGCCCGGGCCGCGCCCCTGGCAAGCATGACTTTGAGTGTATAAATACACCTGACGGGACCATAGCCAGAGAACTCACACCTGCCTCGTAGAGCGTATCTGGAGGAGCACACGCATCCCCTGCCCTGCTGCCAGGGACGCCACACAGGGCACACCTGCCAGACCAGAGCCACCGAGACAGCTAGCTGCTGGCAGCCGGCCCGTGGAGGGACACCTGCCAGGTGGAGCTCAGGCTGGGCCTGGCCTGGACGGACGGAGGGCTGCTGGAGCGAGACAGCTTGGAGCCCCAGAGCCGGGCCCTGGCCAACCAGGAGGACCATGCCCAGGCCCCACTGATACTCGGCCACCAGGTAAGGCCAGCTCAGCTGGCATTCACCTTTCACCCGTACTGGGCTCAGGGTGGGGCAGCTCCGTGGAGGGGTGAGGCATTTGTGCCAAGGAACCGGTTCTGTGGGGTGCACTGGCCTGGGGGAGGACAGCCCACAGTTCCCCCAGACCCTTCCGTGGCTGCCACCTAGCCGGCGGCCACTGTCCTTCTGGTGACATCTCATGCTGAGACACGGGGAGGGCACTCATCACATCACAGTGATGTCACTGTGACTCACAGCAGGCAGTCATGGTGCAGCACCACCCAAGCCTTCATGGCCTGTCACCGAGAAGTCATCTCACTGGCCCACCTGGAGTGACCAGCAAGTCAGGGTCAGGTCAACTTTGGGTTCTCCTGAGCTCCATAGGGTCATGTGGCCAGGGTCTTCCCAAAGGCCCTGGTCTCCTCTGTCCATCATGTGCCTTCCTGGGGTATAGACCTAGGCCCAGTGAAGGGGTAGAGAGCAGGGCCCCGGTCAGCAGGCAAGTCACCTGAGCTTGGCCAGGGAGACAGACAGGGTCTCCTGTGGAAATGGGTCAGGAGGCGGACGCAGCCGTTTGCTTGGCCCAGAGAGGGCAATGGGCCCGTCCACCTGCCCCTCCCTCTAGTGGGCTTGGGGCTAGCACCAGGCCCTCAGGTGGTCCGGCCCTGCGGGTTTGGGATGCAGCTGGGTGACAAATCCTCCCCAGGCCACCAGCCCCCACCACCTCTCTGCCCCTGCCCCACCATCGGGCTCAGCTCAGTCCCAGTGTCCTGACGTCCCCCAGCTAGGCCTGGCACCAGGCCCTCACACGGCTCCCTGCAAATGGTGTACGCCAGCCCAGTCAGAGGCCCACAGGGACCCATGTTCAAACCCACTTCACCTGGCCCAGGGCCGTCCTGCCCACTGGCAGGGGACATGGCTGGGTCGCCCCCTCTCTGAGCTGCCTTTTTACACCCTGGCCGTTGTGTCACGAGACCCGGGCTCAGCCAGGCGGAGCCCAGATGTAAGTAGTAACTATCGTGGGCCATTGTCATCACCTTTATTTCTGCGCAGGAGACATGGCCAGGTAGAGCAGGGCCAGTGAGAGGCATCCACCCAGCAGTCAGCATGACATTCTTGTGCACACACCCTCCATTCTCTGACCCCTCTGGGCTGGTCAGGCGGGAGGGGGCGGAGCAGGGCTTACTGCTGGAGCGGAAAGAGCTCGGAGTGGGGACAGGTGGGACTTTCTGGAAGTGCAGTGTCCTTCCTGGGGTCTTGGGACTGGCACCAGGCAAAAGAGAGGGACAGGGAGAGAGCAACAGGCTGACCCTGCAGGAAGGGGGCAGTCTGTGGTCACTCACAGTGGTCTCTGTTTATCCCCCAGCCCAGAGCCATGTCATCAGGCCAGCAGGTGTGGCACACAGCCCTGCCGCCCCCCGGCTGGAGCAGCCCCACAGCCACAGTGCCCAGGTCCCCCAGCTTGGCCAGCGACCCCAGGTCCCCTGGCTCGGCTGGCAGCCCCAGGTCCCCTGGCACCCCTGGCTCAGAGAAGGTGGCCTCCCCGCTGGAGTGCTCGATCTGCTTCTCTGGTTATGACAACATCTTCAAGACACCCAAGGAGCTGTCTTGCACTCACGTCTTCTGCCTGGAGTGCCTGGCACGGCTGGCGGCCACCCAGCCAGCAGGCCAGCCCGGTGGTGAGGCTGTGCCCTGCCCATTCTGCCGGCAGCCCACGGCCGTGCCCCCCGCCGGGGCCCCCGCACTGCGCACCAGCCGCCAGCTGCAGGCCAAGATGCCTGTTCACCTGCGGCGGGAGGAGCCTGTGTGGCTGGAGGGCACCAAGCTGTGCTGCCGCCCCCCGCCCCCTGCTCCTGGCCTCTCAGCACCCGGCTTTGTGTGCGTGGATGTGGGCCTGAGCAAGCCCGCGGAGCCCGCTGCGCCCACGCCCACGCCCACCCTGGGGCCCGTCCGCCGCCGGGGCCGCCTGGCCCGCTGCTGGGCACGCTGCGGGGACTGGAGGCGCTTGGCGCTCATCACCGCACTGCTGCTGGTGCTGTTCTGCTTGGTGCTCTGGCCCGTGCAGTGCGCGCTCAAGACCGGGAGCCTGCACTGCCTGCGCCGGCCCCCGGCCCACGCTGCTGTGGCCACCGAGACCTACGCGGCCACCTTCTCGCTCAGGCCCCTGGCCGACAACTAGGGTGGTCCCCTGCTCCACGTGTGGGTTCCCAGCCTACAGCTGGAGTCACGGGTGCAGCAGCTGTTGGGACAGTCTCCAGGACCCCTGAGGAGCCCTAACACCTCTGAGGACCCCGTTTGGCTCACCTGCCCCTCCCCCCATCTATGGGGCTGGGTCCTGGTGAGGTGGACCGCCCCTTAAGTCCCATCATGCAGACGGGGAGACTGAGGCCCAGGACACACAGCCTGGTGAGGCCCCCCTCCCTAGTCGCACTGTGAATCACCCACGGAGAAGGGAGGGGGTGCACCACCCTGCCTTATTTCCACATTTCACCCACGGCTCCTTCCCCAGGCAGGGTGGCCCCTTCTGTCGGGTGGCAGTGCTAACCTTGCCCTCCTGGCCGGGGGAACAGAGGGCAGTGCAGAGAGCCCAGCCCTCCGGAGCCCATCCCACCCTGTGAATTGTACATTTTTAAATAAATTATTTTGTATCCACATTCGGCAAGGGGTCCTCACCCTGTGCCCCTCCCTCTAGAAAAGCCCACTGTCCACCCCCGCCCCAGAGAACCTCAATCCAGAGAACACGCCCACTGGCTCAGACTCCCAGCAGCCCTTGGCGAGGGTGGGCCTTAGGTTCTGGGCAGTCTAAACCCTGCCCCCCGACCCATGGATGGGCTGGGGCAGTTCTGGACTTGACTGTCCCCCAGGACCATGAGGCTCCCAGGGAGGTGGGGAGGGTCCAGAGCACCTGGGACGGGGTGAGGCCTTGGCCTGGTCCAGAGCCCTACCCCCCACCCTCAACCATGGTCACACCAACCACCCCCCAAGAAGTCATGGCCCCACGGTCCTGCTGGAAGCCCTCTGCCTGGGGTGGGGAGACCCTGGAAAAGCTGGGCTCCGTCGTGGGGACCCAAACGTACCCTTTTCCCTGGGCCCCAACGAAAACAGAACTGGAAACACAGCATTTTACTGAGGACACCACAAAGGCACAGCACCATCGGGGATGGGGCTGTGGTGAGAGCACAGGACAGTGACATCACACATCACACTAGTCATGCACGCACGAGCCACGCTCGTCACAGGCAGGGCCAGGCATGCGAGGTTGCACATGTGGTCATATGAATACCTCACAGCAGCCCCTCATTCCACAAGCACGTATCCATTCGTGACCATAATGTGATGGTCTGGGCAGGAATTGAGCCGCTGCCCAGGCCACATCCCAGACCACACTGCTGTGGGCAGGGCTGAGGAGCAGCTCTGAAGGTGGCGGCTGGGGGTGGGGGGTGGCATTGCACAGGATGCAGGGGAGCAAGCACAAACACTGGTGGCCACAGTCAGGTCAAGCAGGGGCTGGCCACCAGCTCGCTGGTAAGGCAGTCACTCAAACATGTGGCACATGTGACAGCTGTGTTGTGCAGGTGGTCATTGGTGGTCACTGGTGGCCTCCCACACTGAGACAAACCACAGCCATGAACCCTGCACCCTCTGCCCTCCCCTGGGGGTGCCAGAAGGGACAGGGACACCAGCATCTCCTGCTGCCCCTCCCATTTCTGGGCGTCCAGGCCTGGTGGGGAGGGCCTAAGGGGCAGACTCCAGGACCTCTCCCCCAGCCTTCCGGGGCAACTGCAGTCGACACTGTCCTAAACATGGTCCTTTTAAAGAACGCGAAGGCCGGCCCTCGTGGGCTCCGGGCCTCCTCGCGCAGCTCGCGGGCCCCTCACCTCCCGGGGCTCAGCAGGTTGTCGTACATGCCGCCGGAGGTCTCCGGAGTCCTGCGGGTGGAGACGGGGTTCGGTTCCTTCGCGCAACCACGCCCCAGCTACGCCCCCATGCCACGGCCACTTCGCCATGCCAACGCCCGGGCTAAGCCCCCTCGACCCCACGGCCAGGCCACGCCCCGACCCGGGACCCCGGCCTGGTCGCGCACCACGCCCCACTCACGCCGCGGACGCTCCGGAAGGCGCGGGTCCCGGGCTGCGGCCAGGATCGGCGGGCACCGCGTTCACGTTCTGATAGTCGCTCTCCTCGCGCGTCTCACTCTGGGAGGAGGGGACACCGGTCACCATGGTGATGCCCGCGCAGGCCCCACCCCTTTCCGGCCCCGCCCCCACCTGTTCACGCAAGCGCAGCTGCTCGCGCTGGATGTACCGCTGCAGCGCCAGGTACACAAACTTGTACTGCGCCTCGGTCTGCACCATCCCTGAGCGCTGCCGCCGCACCAGCTGGATCGTCTTGGGGACGTCGATGTCGCAGTCCAGCCCTGGGGATGAGAGCGCTCAGGGCGGGGCCGGGAGGGTGGGGCGGAGGTAAACGAGAGGGGCGGGGCTAGATGGAGGGGCGGGGCTTTATCAGAGGGGAGGTTCACCCTGTCTGCGCATGAGGTCCACCAGGATGTCAATCACGATGATAGTGCCAGTGCGTCCGATGCCGGCGCTGTGGGGACCGACCAGGAGGCCTGTGGCGAGTTCACGGAACGAAGCCGTGGCCCTGCCCGTGGTTGCACCTGCAGTGCCCACGTGGCCCTGCCCCGCCTGCGGTCGCACCTGCGCCGCGTGGCCCCGCCCCTGCCCCGCCCCAACTCGCACCTGCAGTGCACCACCATAGGTCCTGCCCCGGGCGTGCTTCTCTGCGTCCGGTTCACCTCATCCAGGAAGCTGAGGACGCCGGCGGGCTCGGCCGGGACCCCGTGGTCGGGCCAGCTGAAGTACTGGTAATGCTTCACTGTGCGTGGCGGCTCCTCCTGGGCAGGACGAGCTGGTGAGAGCGCTCCGGGGCGGTCTGGGCCGTTTCCAGATGGGGCCAGGCCACAGGGTCAGAGCAGGTCTGCCGTGACCCCCGGGGTGGGAGGAGGCAGGCCGTGGCCAGCGGGAGTGACCAGCAGGGTCAAAGGGAGCAAGAGGTCGTGGGAGGAAAATAGGGGATTGAGGGCTTGGGGGGTCCCACAGGGTGTGCCACGTGGCTCAGGTGCCTGGGGAAGGGGAGAGGGAGCAGGTTTGGGGGACAGTGAGTTCTATTTGGGAATGACCAAATGTGAGAGTCTGTTAGACATACAGAACTGGTGGGGAGGGATCTGTGCCTGGGACAGAAACAGCCACCAGTGACATACGAGGGAGACTGAAGCTCCTGAGACAGGCCAGGAAGAGGCTGTGGAGGGAGAGGCCCATGTGGCTGTGAGGCCACCCTGAGTTCTGCAGCTGGGACCTGGGGCCCGGGGTGGAGAATGTGGCCTACCTGTGAACACTGCCTAACAGGGTCGAGTGACATGGAAGCCAGCAAAGCCAGTGGGATTGGGTGGAGCCAGAGAGGGGGTTCTCCCAGAACAGGCTTTTCTCACCCCCAGACCTGGGGACTCCCTGGGAACTCTGACTCTGGCCCTGTACGTCCCGTTGCCTTCAAGGCTCACCTGGTCTGGCCGCCACACCTGCAGCTCCCGCACACAGTAGCCCTGGGCCTGGTACTCAGCCACGTTGCACACATGCACACAGCCATACTCTCGGCTGCCACGCAGCTCTGGCCAGTAGCGGAAACACTTGTTCTGAGAGAGGGTGCATTGCATCATCAACGGTGCTGGGAGGTCACCAGCACCCCTGCCCTGTGCCCTGCGGGGACACATGCACACACTTGCATACTCAGGGGCTCTCCAGGACCCTCCCCACTCCCCAGAGCTTCCCCAGAAGAAGCGAGGCTAGGCCAGCCAGCAGCAAAAGTCAAGGTGAACACATGGGGACGAGCCTGTGCTCCTACCCGGCCTCGCTCCACTTCCTTGGTGGTCATGACAATGACGCGTGTGTTCTCCTGAAGCACCATCATCCAGAAGGCAGACACCGTGTTCTGCAGACAGCCCTGGGTGGCGATGTACACCTTGCCCAGTCCATGGCCTGCCTTCTCCTCCAGGTCACTCTGAAAGGGAGTGGGGGTCAGCCTCCTGCTGTTACCAGAAATTAAAGCACCAAGAACGCAGGTCTATGCAAATGACATGCAAAGTAGCCCCAGGTAGCTCACAAGCAGGTCTCTCCCACTATAGGTTAGCAAGGGGCTTAAGACCCATATTAGTCCAGCTCCCTCTGGGGACCACTTGGGGACTGCCACGCCCCCTACCCCCAAATATCTACTGTCCTGCCAAGGTCCACAGCCTGGCTCTTCCTAGGCCTGCCAGCAGGAGCTCCAGGCTCATAACAGGGAGACAGGTGACTGGCATGTGGGCAAATATGGCTCAAGATGTCCTGTTTGATGCACACTGGGCCACAGATGCAGCTGGCCACGCGCACGTGCCTCATGCACACCCACCCTGATGTAGTTGGCATTGATGTAGTCGGCTCCAGGCACGCTGTCATCCACACCATGTAGGACGACACGGGTGGTATCAACTGGGAAGGGAAGATGCAGCTCAGGTCTCCAGGGGAACCCAACCCGCAGCCCCGCCCCACCGGCGGCCCCGCCCCCACCACGCAGCCCCGCCCCTCACAGGGAAGGATGTTCTTGTAGC